GACTGCACAGAGGTGGGCAACTAAGAATATAACCACAAAGCACAACAAAATAAGACTTTCATCTCACTCCATGAACATTTAACAAAAAAACAATTATCAAGAATTTAACCAGCCAACTGAGAGTGCTGGCTGCTCAAAGAATATTAATGACCTAATGAATATTAATGAGATTGGTCACACTTTAGTTTATATGCAAGTCAAAACATTATTTAATTATTTTTCTGGTATAAAAGACATTTTATAATAAAGAAATATATTATTCAAAACAAAATCTGTTCATTATTGTTTATTTAAATTTTATTTAAATATAGAACACTTCTAAAAAGCAACCGCATAATGATTTGGTAGACAATAACTATCGTAATAATTATCGTAATAACTATCGTAATAATTATTCATAGCACCAGCTTCCAAAATTTTACATGTAAATGAATGAACACAACGATCATCAAAAGTATGATGAATGCATAACTACTTTTTGATTTCCTTGGTTTGCTAAGAATTATGAGTGAAATTTGATTGCCTCATTCTGAGTGTTTTTGGTCCATTGTCAACAGCATGTCTGTAGTTATTTGGTCGATGCTAGAAAACAAACAAACACAGACAAAGGAAAACTGAGAATAAAGGGTCTAGTCTACAGCGTACTATTCATACATGTTTTTAATAGTCTCAAAATCAGTGAAATTGGCTGTTGTAGGTAATCCCTCAGACAAACATTAGTACGACATATGCACTACTGTATTCGCGTATAACTAAGCTTTCAGATGATATATAGGTTGCTGTAGTAGCAAGTCTAGTAATTTTTAGATAAAGTTTGAATTGTAACTTGATCATTCCCTGTTGCGACGTATAATTCTTGAAACATATTTTTAAACGGTGACCATTTAGACTTAATTTGCGACAAAACATTTTTTCCCTTGACTTACTTAATTTGTGATAAACATACTTTTTTCAATTGTTGGAACGTAACTTTTTTTTCTTCCTATGCACCGATAAATAAGGGTATAGATAGGTAGATTGAAAGACATCTGTGAGGGCAGCATTGAAGAAAAATTCATCATACATGTGAAAAACTGCAGCAAACCAGTTCAAGATTAACTGGTAATATGAAACCAACCTCTACTTTCTTGGTGCATTAATCCACAAGAACTTAAAACACATCAATTAATATTAATTAAATTTAAAATTTACAAAGATTCAAATGATATAAATGTAAATACTAAGTATGTAGGTATTTATAGAATCATATAATTATAAATATTCCTTCAATCTTCAATAATATTAATATTAAAATTATACATAATAATGAGATCACAAGACCATATATCGTCCTGCAATATGTAAGTCACATCTCTTGTTTAATGCCTTTATTGGTTGCATGTTCCTACCTTTAGCATAGTTTGAGATATTACAGTTATGCATATTAACGAGTCCACATAACCCAATCTATGCAAATTATGTAATTAATATACATGGATTTCAACTAAGTAATTAGGTATGTCAATTGTCCAAGATTATTTATATTCTAAGTTTCATTTTAATTTGATGAGTGGTAATTAAAGTAATTAGGTAATTAGTATGCACAAAATTCAACCCCAAACTAAACATGCCCAAGAGCAAATAGCAACCTTATATAGGTTTGCAATTTAATTTGAGTTTAATTAAACACAAATAAATTGCACACAGGAGTCATAAAATTTGTCTTCATGCTTTGAATTCAGATGGCAAGGGCTTTCCTTCAATGCCAGCCACTAAGTTATCGATAACCATCTGTGCCATTTTTCGCCTGGTTTCAACAGTCTGTGATCCAAAATGGGGTGTTACAATAACATTTGGATTATGTAATAGAGGATGGTCTGGTGGAAGTGGTTCAGGATATGTGACGTCTAGCGCTGCTCCATGAATGAGTTTCTTCTGTAAGGCATCCACCATGGCATCCTGGTCTATCACTTGACCTGAGAATAAAACAATATTATATTATTTACTGTTTTTATATGTTGTTTGTTTGTTTCTTTACTTTATGAGAACAAATTATTACATCAACAACAAGTCATTGCCAATGAAATAATACCTGTCTGTATTTTGGATACATTAGCATTTGATGACACAATAAAAATATTAAAAAATGGCTCCCAGATGGAAAGAAATTCAACATGGCTGACAGTAGGCCATTTTTAATCAAATCATGGAACAAAGTGACATGCACTAGTAACACCACATCAGATATTAAATCGGCACATGCATGCCTTAGGGTGGAAGCCTACTCGTAAATTAAAAAAAACAGAATTTATTCATTTTGCAATAAATTGTACTTCAAGGCAATATAAGGTTATTGACCTAAAAAAAGTTTCGGAAAATGAATAGTTGTATTTTAGTGAAAAGTCTCTATTTTGACACTATTATAACACTTTTACGACAGATTCCTATGGCAGAGATATTATGCAATATCTCAAAATCTTGCCTGGTGACATAGGCTGAAAAAAATCATGTATTGTTGATGATGGAGTATCTTTTGTTGTTCTGAATTATTTAAAAAATCTGGGTTTTAAAAAGTGTCAAAAAATGCAATTTTTCTTTAACATTGTGTTCTATGGAATTGTTCTAAAAATAGAAATTTTCAAGAAATATTAGGACACGTTTCGCAAAAAGCATAACTGTAACACACAAAATAATGCTATTACATTGTACCATGAGACATTAGTTTCATGATTGTACATAATAAACTAAGGAAAATTGTCATGCGATTTACGACCAATACATGTACCGGGGTATTGTCAAAAATTATGACGAGGCTTCTACCATAAAAACATTTTGACATGTTGAAATGATGTATTTTGATGCTATAACAATGGCTGCCAGTCGCTATTTTGACTATTTGCCGGTGATAATGATGTTGGGGTGGTTCTTTGACTGTTCCCTCTTCTTATTCATATTCTGGTTTGAGTGTGTATTTTATAGTTTATATTTGATCAGTTCCTCTTGGGGTTTTGTTGTAGGATGTACTGCCCTCGGTGTTGGTACTTGGTATTGCATTATAAAGTTGGACCCCATCACTAATATCTCTACAGCTGCACATATTTATCTTGACAGTGGACAGTAATTGCTTAATGGTACAGGTCAACCAGCTGATGCAATGCCCTTGACACATGATAGTACCATTTTTGTATACTTTAACAATCAACTGTTGCTGGATGTAATTTTGAATTGTTGATGATCTTTTCCAACTACAATCTGTGCTCTAGCGGATTCATTATTGTTTGAGTACTTCTCCTGACATTTCATTTTGTTTACTGTTACTTAAACTTCAGTCTCACTGGTGATTTGAATATTTTACCCTAATGAACAGTAACCTTTTTGTTGAAGTATTTTTCACCTAAAGTTTCTACCGACAATTCATCAGTCATTTCTACATCTAACTTATCCTGATTTTGACATTGCAGTTTGTCATTGGTATCAGCTGTGAACAGGCTTTGACATCTTGTTTATGTTTTGTTGTTGTCTCACTGATAGTTGCCAGTATAATATTGCTCTATGATAATTTCAGTTTCGTTCAACTGACAACTATAATTGGTAAATAACTGATACTGCATACTTACTCAGAGTTTAAGGGGACAATGTGTATAGCTGTACATTTAATGTTTTTGACAAGTTCAGACATCCAGTGGCATGTGTTGTCCTGACGTAAGTTATCAATAGTGGCATAAATGAGAGTTTGTAAGAAATATTTAAATGCACCGCCATGCACCGACGAAGAATAATTGAACTTCTTCTTCACGATTGCGTGTAAAATAGACAGGGTATGACACGGCGCATGCCATTTTCAGACACACTACTTACCAGACGATCAAATGTCAAATAACCAAATTTTCATTATGTTAGTGTAAAATGGCATGTCATTTTTATGAGCCGGTTTTGAAAAATCTTTATGAAATACAGATACAATTATCCAGCCTATTCTCCAAGTGTTAACACCCTAGCACTGGCAGTACAAACATTGTTTAAATCTGAGTTACAAGGGGAGTTAGTTGTTAACAACACATCATTAGCTTCAGTACCAGTACATGTATATCCCTAGCATGATTGGTTTGTCCATCTTATGGCTAACTTTAAACATGTGCAGAGTGGCAGCTTCACAATATATTGACAGCAAAGAACCACAAAGAGTGGTTGCACCATAGCGATTATTAAAGTTTCTGGATTTTACAGCCAACATTTGATATTAAGCCCAATTGGGTGGATTATAATGTAAATGATAGCAATGTACATGTAAACAATGGTACAAGCATTGAACAAGATCACATGTTCTATATGGCGAACACCTATTGGTCAGCTTGAGATATGTCATACCCCATCTATTTATTATGAAGAATAGGTTGAAAGCATCCTACAATCGAATGTTTTCAAAAATCGTGTAGAAATGTCTTGTACGTGCTAGACGAACAGATTTTACCCAAACTTCTATGATTTTCAAATCTTTATCTCAAATTTTAATATACTGGTAGATCATAACAATTAACCTTGAGAGCCATATTTTGGTGCAAAATTTAAGTTTTTATGTATTTTTTGATAGTTTATTATAATAAGTTTTTTTTATCTATCTAGAAGGGTATTTGAGTTGTGAACTTATTCTGTGTGGCAATACCTGCTGATACTCTCCATAGAGGAGCAACAAACAAAACAACTCCTTTTCATTTTCAGCAATGTTTTATGGAGTAAAAACAATCTCACGGGAAAAAAACACAGAAATTAAAAACTAACCTCGTGCAATATTTATGATTACAGCAGTGGGCTTCATTAGTTGAAATTCTCTCTCACCAATCATTGCACAGGTTTCCTTACACAGTGGAACGACAACCATTACGTAATCAGACTGCCTCAACAAGACTTCCAAACTCATACAATACTTAGCTCCAACTTTCTCTTCATCAGTTACTGATCTGAGATTTATATAAAAAAAAAAAAACAGAATTACAGTGATGTGAATACTAAGGGACTGGTCATTTTCTTTGGCCGGGGTGGGGTGGGGTTGGGGATGTTGTGCTGGGAGATCTGATTTCGGAAAAGTAAAAGAAAATCGACCCCCCCCCCCAAAAAAAAAAACAAAACAAACAAAAACAAAACAGGGTGTCCACCCTAACATCATCTGAAAATACAGTAAAGTAAATTTGATTTTCCCTTTGCCTGGAAAGGATTCTAACAATTTTCAATACATAGTTTAATCAGACACAATATTATACAATATTTACAGTTTATTTAAATTTTTTATTGCACAAAAATATTCAAGTTCATGAACTTTTAACACTTTCAACATTCAAACTTATTTTTGTAATATGACGCTAGCAAAGTTTAAAGCTTTTTCCGCATTCATTAGAATACATGAACTGGTAATTTTGATGTGCTTTAATTAATATTTCTTGAATTACACACAATATAGATGAACAAGAAATAAAGAATAATACGTATTGAATACATTATACTAGATTTGCAAATCGTTATGTTGATCTGTGGTCTGTCAAGTGGTGCCGTCAAATCTAGTAAAACAAAGCTAGTTCTGCAAAGTTGCGAGTTTTCTTGTTAACTGACTCTTTGAATAATTCTCTGAATCACTGTAATGATATAATAGACAACAACCAATGTAACTTTTAGTTTATATGTGATTTTATTTGAGATATGCTTCTAATAAAGCGGTATCCCCTCAAAATTTAACGATAAATACAGGATAAATAATATACTATCGGTAAAAAGTGTACCAACCTCCTTTCTCTATTATAGTAAATGATGTTCATGTTGAATGCTCTAGCTCTTTCAGCAACTTTATAACCAATATTTCCCATACCAATAACTCCCAGTGTAGCTTCATTTATATCATTGCCCATCATAAACATGCTATATACTTTGGATTCACGAGCTATATTGACACCTGAACAATCAACACAGGGAAACAAAAAGTGTTGAAATTGTTACATCTTGCATATCTGGTGGGTCACTGTACTGGTACAGTTCGATGAGGCTTACTGTAAAATGTAAGAATTTTCACAATTTGAGAATTTAAGGTTGCTCATACTGAATTCAAATTCCGCACTACTGACATGTTACTGGGCATATGCGATGCATTGTGGG